TACATTAGCACATGGCTCAGTACCTTTTCCAGCGGGGCAGCTTACATCTTTCCTCTCCAGTGGTCTGGGCAGAACTGCTGAGGGAGCTTCCTGCTTTCCAGAATACTCCCAGTCTCTTTGCTCCATCTCTACTTCCTGTCTGGCTTTCCCGCCTATACTGCCTGCCTAGCCAATCAGTGTTTTATTAAAATATGATTGACAGAATACAGACAATTCTCCCACACCATTTCCCTCTTTTTTTTTTAAAACAAAGGAAAATACCCATAGTCCATTTGTTGGGAATGTGGGCGTAGTATTTCAGGCTACTTCCTGCTGGTTGGGAGCGCTGATGATCTTTGGGGACCTAAAGAAAATTTAGAGTTATAATCAAGTCCTGACTGGAGTATCCGGTGAGTCTTGATCATCTCAGGCAGCAGTCTTGAATCTGTTCTGGATGTAGAACTCAGACATCCAGGTCATCTGTTCCTACCGGAGATTTCTCAGGTGGTCTTCCTTTTTCGAACCTAATTTTTCTTAACTCAGAATGAATCCACAGCCTCTCATTTTCTGTGGAAACAAAAGCAAAATCTCTTCTCCAAAGTAACATACCTTTTGACTTCAATTTTGAAGCCAAGGTATTTTCAAAATACCTATCTTGGATTAATTCTACAGCATTTATAAGCAAATGTCTTTTGGCGACTGTTGCTCCTTCCTCAGCATTCAAACAATTAAAAGAGAGCTTAATAATATACAGTATCAAGATTCTCTGTGTATTTTCCATTTTTATGTGGCTTTATTTCAACTTCTATTTCTTCAAATTTTACTTTTAACTTTTGGCTTTTTGAGACAGGTTCTCTGTATATATCTTTGTCCTGGAATAACTCTGTAGACCAGGCTGTCCTTGAACTCACAGAGATTCCTCTGTCTCTGCCTCACCAGTGCTGGGCTCAAAGGTGTATGCTACCTCACCTTGAACTCACAGAGATCTGTCTGTCTCTGTCTCCCAGGCATTGGGATTAAAGGCGTGTGCTACCACACCTTGAAGTCACAGAGGTCAATCTCTACCTCTGTCCCTTGAAGTCACAGAGGTCAATATGCCTCTGCCTCCCAGGCATTGGGATTAAAGGTGTGTACCACCACACCCTATAACAATAAAAATCCAGACAAACAAACAACAAACAGAAAACCCTTTCTCTTCATGGTGAATAATTGCATGTGTCTGTTCAGGCATGTGATTTATGTAGGAGTTCTCAAGATTTATATACTGTCATCTGGACTACCATGTGGTTTCTTCTTGTTGGTTGAATCTGAGTATGGGAGCTTATTCTTTAGGAAGCTAGGGATGTTGCCATGATCATCTGTCGTGGTGTGATGCAGGGCTAGAGAAAGTGCTGCCACTGTAGCCCTTTCAGTTCATTGAGTACCTTCTAGATGTCTGCTCTGCTACACCCTTTAAAATGTAAGTTGAACTCTTTTGACCCACTCTTCAAGGGTGTTCCTAGTTTGCCAATGAGATAGCTGTAATTCTGAAAGCCTATACCATTAGCCTAAGTTCACAGTCAGAATATACACTCTGGCTGTAATTTCAGCCCTTTTGTTGTTTCTTTTGTTCTCTGACTCTCTCGATAGATCCTATTGAAATGTGCTCTGTCCTGCTCTGTGAGCAGAAGACATTCACACCTGGCCTTGTCAAGTTAAGGAACTGCAAAGTGTCACCCACTTACCCATATGTGTAGCTTGCATGCATTCAGTTATGAATTCAAGCAGGCTGTATTTAGCCATACGGTGACACTAAGATTGCAGCAATCACCAAGGCATGCCATTTTGTTGAGTGCTTAGATGAGAGACTAACAGGAATGGCTATTGCCCCCTCTTTTACTTTCTCAAGGATAGGATTGCCGTTTCTTTGTGTTTTGCTGTAGCAGTCACTGAGGATAAATTCACCTTAAAAATATTTTTAGGAAGACGTCATGTTGAAAAGTGACAGATCTCTAAGGATTTCTTAGGCAGCCAAATTTTCCTTCAGCACACACAAAAAATGAAATCGCTTTTTATCTTGCTGAGCACATGATAACCTCATGGGGTTGCTTACTTCATTGTGTGAAAAATACTATGTTCAACCTCACATCTGCAAGATGCTCCTAGCAAGAGGTTGTCTGGCCCAGAGATGAACTAATTCAGATCTTTTGTCTCATATTTCCTATGGATAGATAGGTGGTTTTTTTCCAAAATGACCCATCTTATCTACTTACTCCTTTTGTTCTGAAAAATGTTTCATTTCCCTCTCCAACGTAATTTCTCTTTTTCCTTTCTATATTTTCCCTCAGTTGATCAAAGCTTAACTAGATAGTTATATCTGTGTTATAGAATTTTTCCTTTTACAGTTTTTTATTATTCTTATTGTTCTTATACTTATTATTCTGCTTGTTCTTATATTTTTAGATTATTCACAGTCAATTGTCACCATCTCTGTCAGTTTTCCTTTTAAATTTAGTGTTTATAATTATTTGCATATCTATATAAAGAATTTTATGGATGTTGGAAATAAAACTACTTTTGTGTGTAGAGATTAAAAAAAAATAAGACTTTATTACCAAGTAGAAGCACTAGTGAGTGACAGGGTAAATATTTCTAGAGTAAATTAATGTAAAAGATCACATATTTAGTAAAATAACAGCAAAATTGGAAAGGTATTTTATTAGACTATACTGGTATCATCTACATATGTGTGTGCATGTATCATAACACTGTTGGACCCTATACATCCAATAGCTTTACACAAATATACACAAATACATACACACACACACACACACACACACACAGAGAGAGAGAGAGAGAATTTCACTAAGCCTAGCATCTATCAGAGGGAGAAAAAATAAAAAGGGAAATTACTTTACTTCATTAATATAAAAATAAACATATGTGTATGAACATGGTTTCATATTACTTACAGTCTAAAGGACTGTCTTTACTCCCTTTTTAGGAGGTCATGCAATCTGAATCATAAAAGAGTTAAAGGAAAACAATAGCTCAAACACACACACACACACACACACACACTCAAACAGGGTTGGGGAAAGACAGTGGGTGAGACAGAGAAAGGCAGAGAGGGAGAGATTAGATTAGTCAAGAATTGAAGACAATGATTAATGAGGATGCTTTCTCAACCAAAGTTGAATGAAGCAGATGAAAACTCAGCAGGCCCAGGCAGCCTCTGTGAGCATACAAATAAGTTTGGTCAGCAACTACAGCCTCCCTACTTGATGCTAACCAGCTCTTCAAAAACCCAAGTAAGCATGTCAGTGATTCAGCACAGAATCTGCTCTCTATTGTCATGAGTGTTCTTGACAGTGGCGAGAAGTTGGCACCTGTTGGGACCCATGTTATGTTGATTGCATGGCATGAATAGGTTTTGAGGAGTTGTACAACTAAGACTTAATATTTGAACAGCAAAAGTTGGACCCAACTGTGTGATACACTGAAAGTGTGGCATCCTTATCATTTGAATAAAAAAAATGTATTGAATATTAAATCTTTTATCTTCAGCCTTAGATAGGGAACAGGTGGATCAGAAAGCCTCACTCAATTTGTGCAAGCACCGCGTTTGCTTTCTTTCCCACTGAAAGATTTTTGTAACCCTTTGGATGCTGAACAGCACAGAATGGCTTCAGTCTGTGTATTTCTCTAGTTAGGTAAAAATCTTCAGCTTGCTTCCAGAAACCAGTGAACCTCAGTGTACTGGAGTGGTGTGTACTACTCACCCACTGGTTGGAAGCCACAATAAAGTGCTGTTTTGTGCATTGTTAGTTGTCCATAAGCAATTCTATTTGTTGTAATCAAGTGAAAAAGAATGGCCTCAGAAACAGGACTAATGAGATTGAAAGGACGTTACAAAACAAAAGAGTAAAGGGCACAGTCTGCACAGTGTGTCACTTGGTCAATTGCACAGCGTTAGGGAGTTTCTTTTGCTTGCTACCATGGAATTTTTCATCCCAGTTTACTGGTGTGAGGGTCTCTAGAGTCATCACAATCCGTTTAGACCTTCTTGGCAGCAGATGTTGAATCAAGGCCAAGGTGATTGCCTGTTAATGTTTAAAATAGAAGAAGGTTATTTGCATATATATCATATATATGTTATATATGTTAATATATTAACAGTCTTTACTTTCCTTTAGTGCCAAAGAGTTATAGTTTTATAAATCTCCTTAATTAGTAACTTCTGTTGGATTGTTTTAGGATTACCAGATGAGATTAAGCCAGTATGAATGATGCTTATTAAATGCGGACAAGAGACATATAAAATCTCTTTGACTTTTGGTGCCTGAAAGAAAAGCTAAGCCCATCAGAGATATGTTCATGGGTCTGAATTAGAAAAGAAGCTTATGGATACTCCCCTAGAGTCTGAGTGCCAAGCTTCAAATGATCTGGGAATTAACAATTAAAAGGTTTCTGTGTAATGATTGATATGTATACATCATTTCTTATGTTGATTTGTTAAAAGATCGAAGCTTGGCATGAACCCCTGTGGGTGGGAAATGGCCTCTTGAATTGAAGGCTATGTTGACTCTGTAATTGATGGAGGTCTGCTTTTGGAGTTATTTTTAATAGAAATCACCTCGTTTTAGTGGTATCGTTTTATTTTGATACATTAGTCATCATATCAAAGGAAAGCAAGTGGCTATTATGCACAATAGTGGAGGACTGCCAGGGATGAACTCTGACAAATTGTGGTCTGTTCCAAAATACCTGAATCCGTGGGAGCAGACACATCAATAAAGCTTCCTCTGTGAAGTGCAATTACATGAATATTTCTGCATGTCTACCCTTCGACTTCTGATGTTCTGAGATAGAAATGTCCAGAATTCTGAGCAACAGAGCAATGCTACTAGGTATTTACACATTGGTTTGTTTTTGATGCCAAGTGGAAGAAGATAAATTAATATATGTTCAATAAAGATAAAAATTAGTTTAACAGTGTCTCCATAACTCTAAATCTACAACTTTTGGGTTATCCCTAGGTTATGAGAATGATCCTGTCGTGAAACTCCAGGCAGATCGTAGTGGAACAAAATTTACTGGTAAGAGTATTTGCCTTAATCAGTCTCTTTATGAATTTATACTATGTTTAATTTTCACACAAAAAATGTACAAGTATAACAGGAGGAAGTAACAAAAGATAAGAAAATACCATGAAAATTGAATATTTTCTAGTCTTAAGAGCATATATAAACTAGATACATAATAGTGTGGATATATGTGTATGTGTTTATGTATGTATGTGTGTATGTATGTGTGTATGCATGTGTACATGTGTCAGTGTGTATCTGTGTGCACATATGCCTGCCTGTGTGGTTGTGCATACATATATGTGTGAGTGTTATATTAAAATGCTTGTCTTATATTTTTTAATAGGGAAAGTCTCTTCCCTTAAATTTATTTTTCTTGTTTGCTGACCTCTTGACATATTTGAAAGTGACATCTTGACCACATTTATCGAAATGCCATTTTTAATGGAAAAATGAATTTGGCTCCTGAGTTCTGTGAAGGTTAACTTCTTAGCAGGTTTGATGTTACCTAGAAAAAAACTTTTATTTTCAGGGGTCAAAGAGAGCTTGCCCTTTTGTGGTCCGGAAGGAGTTTGAACCGTACTTGAGATTTGGATTAATGTTAAATCTGACTTTATTCTTCAGTTGGAGTTTTATCAAACTGTTGCAGTTCTAGGATTCAGTCTCTAAGAATCTGTAAGTCAGCAAGTCTGTTTTGAAGGGCTAGACACTCACAGTGGTGTGCCTCCAAGGAAACTCTTTGTGTTTAAACCTATGTTTCCTAATTCTTATTACTGGCAAAAGAGTTGTACTTACATGCATGTATAACATATGGGTTGCAATTACAGTGGATGTATATATATGCATAAATATTATAGAATGTACACAGACACATACACACGCACGCACACACACACACACACACACACACACATGTATATATATATCATAAATCTGGCTGTTTTAATCATGTGTATCAATGCTATGCCTGGTCCATTGTGCTCCATTCAGTAAAAAAGGTTAACAATTTGTGTCATTTTTTATATTCAACACAATGTGATTTGAAAGATTCATTGTTAATAATATACCATGTTTTCTCACACTTTAATGACAGAAATGCAAATGACAGAATATGATACCTGAAAATTTCAGGTATCATTTGATACATGCAAAACTTTTTCCTATAAAGATTATAAATAGGGGCTTAATAAATAGAACGCGAAGACAGACTTGACACCTTGACTTTGAGTTACTGTTAACATTATTTAGCTTCTGGTAACCTGTAGAGAACTTTGAAATGAAGTCAGGGTTGCCCCAGTAATGAACATTTGAGGATGCTGTGTGTGTGCTTTGAGAACTGCTTGGCCTCTGTCTCTCAGTGCAGTGGTTTTGCCCTCTGTGTATTTGTGTCTTCTGTTTGGGACTTCTCTGAAAAGACACGTTAAGTCCAGTTAATCTGCATGACTATTAGAAGATCATAAACCATTTGTACTCTATTCTAATATTCTGAGGGAAGTCCTCTGGGAATTTGATCTTTTCATGATAGAATTTATAAGGTGTACATTTTTTTCTATTAAACCCATTTTATGAGTTTACTCTAATACGTTTCCAGTTTGTGAGATACCTAGGTAAGTCTTCTCAGAAATTAAAGGATCAAATGTTACACCCATGGGATGGGATGCATAATCCAGTGCTAAAATACATCCAAGAATTTACAGTGCCCTGGGTTCAATAAAACAAAAACTATCCTAGTAAAACAATACTGGGATAAAAAATATCAAATAAATAAAATATATCACCCAAATAAAAAATATCAAGCAACCCAGTATATTATCAAATAAACAATAACAAAAAGAAAATACCTCACTCTGCCATTGGAAGTCTAATTGTCTTTGATTCAGAATGGTATATAATTAATAATTATATCTGTTGGTATCATGAAAAATGGATATAAACCTGTGAATTACACTACTCCTTACTCATTACTGTCAACCATCCTTCTGTTTTGTTTAATTATATTTCTTTTTTGTCTTCTTGATGATTCATCAAATCATTATATAATTCTATAAGACAGGTTTCTTTTTTCAGTTTTCGTTGTGGTACTTGAGAAATTATCTGTTTAGCTTTCCAACAAAGCTTTATGGGATCATGGTCCTAGAATACACACACACACACACACACACACACACACACTCACACATACACACACACACACATACACACGCACACGTTAGTATATACACACATGTACATGCTAGCATGTACACACACATTAGCATGTACACAAATACACACACACAAACTTCTTAATTTTTTTGTTAATCCTTTGTGTGGAGATTTCTCCCTTGCTACAGAACCTCTTCTAAAAGAATTTTTAAGAGTATAAAATAATCACCAGTACTCTGGTAGAAAAGTGTACTAATTTTACTCTTACATTTTCAAAACCAAAATTTGTCTGGATTCATCAAGTACCCATTTCATTTTTTTATAATTGCACCTATACCTATGAGATGCATGCATGTTTATCCATATATGTCATTCGTTGCTATACCTGTGTGTAATTTATCTAAAGAGTTTTTGTCCAAGCATCTTAACAGGCAGGTTCAATATTTGAATGACAGAGAAGACGATTTTGTTGTGGAATTCATAATAATACATGGAGGAGCAGGTAACCTTGGGGTTAAACACCAGACTGATGGATGGTGCTTATCTCTATCCACTGTTCTTCTTACCGATTTATGAAGTTTGATGTGTTCTTTTATATCAAAGCCTTGGCTCCGTGTCCTGGCAGTCCAAAAGAGAGATTAATATTTTTATTTAATCTTAGTAAAGTGCTATTGTGTGAAAGAGGAAGGGGAAAATGGAGACTGGAAAGTCTCTCATTATGGATCACTTTTTGGACACCTTTGTGGAGGAGTTTTTGGATTGTTTCACTGGATCCTGTAATTGCCTTGGCTAAGAGTTCCTAATTCCATTTCAACATGGGCTGTGATGTGTTTTAATGCTTCTAATCCATCAGCTCCTGATAGCCCCAGCCAGCCAAATAGGCCTGGTATTGTTACTGGCATTGGCTCTAACTCATTCCTGTTAGAATGATTAGAAAATAAAGGTGTAAGTTCCTGTTCATGCATATTTTGTGAAGCCACTTTCTGCTTTCAAGAAGTTCTGTTTGGATGCCAAGGAAAATGGATCTCCTTAGAAAGAACTTTCCCTCTGTTGAATAATTAAATGTAGTTTTTCAGCATCTCTTGAGATGGGGTATGCTGAGGCGATAGAAGATTCCATCAATGGTAGAATGTTGTGCATAAATAATTAATGTGTCATATTTCACGTTTCCGACAGTAAATAGTATCCTTTTCCTTTTCCAGTGATAGGAATGCATCAGAAGAACACATGCCCTTGTTACAGAATTAATCTTCTGTCCATATTTGATGCTTACACCTCTTAAATATTTATGAGCTGTTATCTTGCTTTATTGTTATTTACTGTCTCCAGGGGCATGTGAGAAGTCTTGCATTTCTTCCTTAGCCAAGCATTCTGCTTCCTTCCTTCCTCTCTTGGCTGTTCCTTGGATTACTTCCAATTTGCATACATAATTCTGGTTTTGAGGTGTCAGAAATCCATTTGTTTCAACTGGAGTTGTATTGAAGTTGGTTTTACTCAAATTGCATAAACAAATAAATGTGATTTCCAAGGTATGGGAATTCAGAGAGGTTTCTGAAGTAAAGCCGGCCAAGGTACACAAACACACTGTTAAGACAATACAGGTAGACTTTATGCCCCTAGGGAAATGGAATCCCCAAACAAAAAGACCATAGAGTTAGCACTATGTGAAGAATTAATTGCATTTTAAAATTTTACATACATGCTCATATTGAAAAAAATTTTTTTGTGTGTGTGGGTACTGTACATCAATGTGTTTTTCTTAATCTCTTAACTGGGGCACAATTGGGAATATAAATATCTCTATATATCTGACATGTAAAATTTTTGAGTTTGTATGCACGCAAACACCCGTAAGACCACTCACAATTAAGGTAATGTATGTATTTATCATCTCCAGAGGTTTCTTCTGCACCCCTTTGTTTTTCTGGTTTTAGACTTTAATAGGCTTGGGTTCTTCTTTTGTAGACATATTATTAGGTTTTATTGATTTTTCATTTTTTCCAAGTTGGCAAAGCAAAATCCATATCCCAAAGTAAAAAAAAAATAGTTGCTATTAATATATTCCACAGAAAGAATGAATAACATGACCTTTAAAATATGAAACATTAAAAGACACTGGAACACACAAAAACTTGAGTGATTATTTTAATGAACTCTTTTGCTCTTACATTCATGTTTAAATGCATTGTTTAAAGAGCCAAGAGATGCATTGAATAAATAAAATACTTATGAAAAGACATAGTACCACAAAACGAATGACATAAAACAAAATCAAATGGAAGGAGAAAATTGTGTTTACTTCACAAAACACCGTTTTTGCCCTTAGGCAATCATGTTGGAGAAAAAGACCATGTATAACAAAGACACAAATCATCGACATCGTCCACAAATAGTGGGTTTTATTGGATTGCACACATGTGCAAATACTTGAGGCCTTGGGAAGGAAGCACACCAATAAAATACATCATGACTATCACCACCGAACTAGGCAGGGTGGGAGCAGGGCCTCACTGAGCATCCAGTGATGAAATAGGGCATTAAGAAGTAAATCAAAGTCTCTGATCAAAGACTAATTTCGCCCATCAAAAATGATCCTGCAGTGGAAAGAAGCCTCATGTGCAGAGATCAAAGATTAGGATCTGCACATATAACACTGCACCCCTGCCCTGTGGGGAGGGGGAAAGAGCAGAAAGAGAAGGAGGAAAAAGAAGCCATACATCAAAGTTCTCTAAGAATCCAGTGCAATAAAATCTCCCTTTCTTCAGGACAGCATGCAAAATTAGAGAAGTACAAATGATTTGTACAGTGCGGCTGACTCCCACATTTGAAACTGTGAGGAGCTGGCACTGGTGACTAGGTAACTTGTT